GGGTGGGTGTGTGGTAGCGAGCTGGATTGTTTGCTTCTGAAACTGCCAGCATGGCCTTGAACACGAGCGAGTGGGAGAACATCAAGGAGAATGCGCAACCCCTGCGCAAGGGCTATCGCGCTGCCCAACTGCTGCAAGCCCAAGACAGATCCTCGAGTCACACTTGGCTCGAGAACGAAAAAGCGTGCGTGCCTCAGTGATCAGTGTGACGTCCAGATCGCTGAGCCTCATGCATATGCGTGTAATAGCTCCTGCTTTTCGCGCCATCCATCCTTGCCTGTGTCGCTCCTGACTCCCCAACCTGGCTGGTTGCTCCTGTCGCTGGCTCTGTCGACGGATTAGGCGCTTTGAGGCGGAAATCAATGCAGGCACCGGCGATGATCCTCTGCAACCATGGATTAGGTGAGACGAAACCTGTGCTCATCGTCTCATGGGCCACCTTAGTGATCTCCATCGCTCTTGCACACACGGTGCCTTGACCAATGCTCTGGCCTCGGCTCTGCGCACGCAGCTATCTCAAGTGGACTGAGGAACATGCCGCTCTTGGCGACGTTAAAGTGAATCGCACCAGCGTGCTTGAGCGCTGCGTGCGCAAATTTGCAACCTTGCTCGAGTACCATGATGATCCACGCTACATTGACATTTGCTTCCAGTATGCCGACGTGGTGGAGGATCCTCGCGACATGATCAAGTTTATGCGCAGCAAACGCATCGGCGTCGCTACTGTCCTCTTTTGGAATGTAGGTTCAGGCTCAAAAGCCCTTGTGCCAGCCCCTCTCAAATGGTTGCCAGCTCATCACATGGCCTGCCGTCTTGCCTCGCCTCACCTCACCTCGCCTCACCTCGCCTTTTCTTGCGGCAGAACTATGCGCGCATCCTCGAGTCTTTGGAACGTCCTGAGGAAGCTCTGGCCGTCTTTGACCAAGGCTTACCTTTTATGACTGATGATGAAAGCGCTGAGCTCCTGCGTCAAAAGCAAATGGAATGCGCTTTGCGCATCGAGGACACAGCGACACGCGCCACCCTGCTTGGCCGCGATCAGCCCGAAGAAGACCTGAGGTCAGTTCACCCGTAGCTCGCTCAACCTGTCCCATTCGATAATGCTCTACCAGTATCTCGTCGCAATGCCAAAGTTTGACCACTCCACATTCGCATCTTTGTGTAGCCAACGACAACATCTTGGTGATCTACGGGCCAACAAGCATGGTCACGTTGCAAGCAACCGAGTCACAGCTCTCTCTGGACAGTGCGTAAAGACCCATCTTGACCTTGCACGTCTGCTGCTTCCACAGCCTTCTGCTTGCACACCAACTTGTCTCCTCGTCTCATATACCATCAATGCTTTGTCTACAGCACCCGAGGCCTGGGTGGAGCTTCTGCAGCACCCGCCAGCAACAACACTGGGAGCCTGCAGATCTTCTCCGATAACGGGTACGTCCATACCGATTAGATCCTATGCCCAATCCTGACCCCTGAACCCAGCCCAACGTTGACACCAGACCTCATTCCCTTGCCACAAAAACGTGAAAAATAATTTAGATCGGCGCCGGCTGGAGCTCAAGTTTCTGCTGAGCAAGGATGGCGCCAGATGCCTGTCCAAAGCGTGACTCGCAAGGAGAATAGTCTGGTGTGTTATTCACCCCGATGGTTTTGAAACGCTGCCCCTGTCATTGGTGCCAACGAGAGCTGACGCAACCTTGGGTGCCTTGTAATTTCAATGCTTTTCAGGCGGCTGGTATCTGGACGGATCGTGGCTTGCAAGGTGCCAAGAGCATGGTGCGCGGAGCCGGTGGTGCGGGCCCCTCTTTGGCCGTTTTGGCAGACCCTGTGGAAGCTGGCCAGCGTGGCTCGCCCCCGCGCAAGCAAAGCAAGGCCATGAAGAATGCTCTCAAGCCCAAGAAAGACCTGGCAGCTCTGGAAGCTAACCCTTTTGTTGAACTTCAACGTCGACGTGCCCAGAGTGCCCAGGAGGAGGGTGTTGTTCTGGCCTATGATGCCGCAGCCATCTTTCCTCCAATGGCCGAGGAGGACTGCACTTTTGAAGAGCTACGTGCCAACATGTGGCTACAGGCCAACCAACTCAGCTGGGACATGCTGCCCGTCCCCTCTGCACCAGTGTACCACGATGAAGAGGCTACAGCAGATGTCGACATGGAGGAGGATGCTGGGGATGTCGAATCTTCCCTTGCCGATGCCAGCCTGCCTTTGCCGCCGCATGCCGAGCAAGCGCCCGCGCCGGCCCAAAACATGTCGACTATCCTTGAGCAAACAGAGGAGTCCATCAGCACAGAACGAGGTGCATTGCGCCCACGCCGTGCTCTGGGCGTACTCCGCGATCAACCGACCGACGCCACGCTGGACCGAGAGGACCACACCGTTACCAAGCAGCTTGACTTCAATTCGGCCAGCCTCCAAGCCACGCCGGCCACTCGATCCGAAGAAACTGAAGCGAGCGCTGCTGCTGAGAACTGCCCCTCCCCCACCATCAATACCAAGGCCGCTATGGCTGACATCATGGCCATGTTTGGTGCACCGCTTGAGGGCAACACTGACACCCCCGCAACGGAATCTCCCGTTCAGACAGCTGCTGCACCAGCAGCTGGTGGCTTCCAAATCTTCTGCGACGAAAATGCTGCACCAGCCGCGACTTTGACCGAGCGCTTTGCTGACGAGAATGCCTTCCCACTCGGCGCCTCCGAGGAGCAAGGTGCCCAACACAATGAGCCCCGTAGCGTTCTGGGCGAGCTCAAGTCTTTCTCCACCACCCCCTTCATGGTGTACAATGACGACGGCACGGAGGCAAACGCTGACGATGATGGTGAAAACGATGCTCACGACCACCACAACATCACGGTAGCGGCCCCAAGCACCGAATCCATCACTCACTCGACGCCATTCGTGCGGCCCAATGCTGCAGCCGAGCTGGCCCTGCCTTGCGCCACGCCCATTCCGGCCGAACATGGTGATGTGGGAACCGATCTACCCCACCAGACCATGCTGGCGCGCCAACACGGTCTCCACCTCGCTGAGATGGACGATCATCACCTGAGTCCCATCGTGGAGGCTAGCCAGGAAACCTCGACCTCCAGCTCCTTTACATCCAATCACGAGCGTGGTGCACCCGAGCACCCTCTGCCACTCGCATTCAAGCAGGCGCTCGTGGAGAACCGACATGCTGACTGGGCCTCTTCGCCCTGGTGCCAGCAACTGCCGGCCCCTTGCCCCCGCCTTGGCCTCAACCAGGTCCTCAAGACCTTGCTGCGCGGCAAGACGCTCAAGGTCGTCCGTCCTATTGCTGCCGAGGCCGAGGGCCTGCAGAGTTTTCTCGCACGCGAAGTACCGCCTCATGCGGCTGATACGGCTGGCTTTGACGACGAGGACGACGATGAGGTTTATACCTACCACCTCTTGAAGCAGACACAGTCAAGCTATGAGGCCGTCGTGACACGCCGCCTCCTGTCGCACGTGGAACAGGATCGTCGATTGTCTTTGTGCTATGGTGTGACGGAGCGAGCTTTCCAGTTTGCTGACGGACTCGTCTTGTGTTGCCGTGCCTCCGACGAAGGCACGCTGCAAGATGTTGTGCAGCTAGCTGCCAACTCGCCAGCCGGTCTGGACGAGACCCTCGCGATCTACTATGCCGTCGAGCTGTTACGAGCGGTCGAAGGCATGCATGGTGCAGGCGTGGTGCACGGCTCGCTTCAGCCCTCGAACATCTATCTTCGCAACGACGCTGAGGATGAAGACGGCTGGCAAAAGGAGTGGCGTGCCGATGGTTCCAACGGCTGGGCTGACCGAGGCCTGCTCCTGGCCAATTTCACGGCTGCCTTCTCGACCGTGGACGAGAACCAAGTGCGAAGTTTGGTGCCGTTCTTCTCGGCTTTGCAGAAGCAACTACGCCGCCCTGCACTTGGCCTGGACCTGGACTATCTCGGCCTCGCCAACACCATGCATTGGCTGCTCTATGGCACCGAGATGAGCTTGGCCTTGACTGAGGATGGCTTCATGCCGGCCACACCCTTTAAAGCTGCGTGGGTACAGCCGCTCTGGCAGCGATTTTTCCACGAGCTCATCAATAACACGGCCGTTGACCTCAAGGTTTGTTTATGCAAAGGCCAGACCGAATGGGCCCGTGTTTGCAACGTTATCGCATTTGCCAGTAGCAACGTGATGCTCACGGATTGACCGTGTTTTGTTTGTTTGCTTTTGCTTTTGCTTTTGCTGTTGCAGAGCCTCCGCTTGCAGTTCGAGCAGCACCTGGCCGTTCATCCGTTCAAGGCCAACGCATTGCGCAGCCTTCTTACCAAGCAGGAAATTTGTCTCTTTGATCTTCGTGACTGAGTCTTGCGTCGCCAGTTGTCGTTCCTTTGCTCTAGTGTGAGGGGTGATCAGAGCGGTTTTTGAGTTACCTTTATCTTGTATCTTACAGCTAGCACCAGTGCATAGCGATTCCGATAGACAGCAGATCGCTTGTGAAGTGTAACTGCTCTAGCGTGTCCTCAGAAAAGCCTGTTTTGTAGCCGTGGCATTCGTTCTTGCCTTGTTGGTCGCAACCTCCTTGTTCAATCGAACTTTGCTTTTTACGCCTGAAGTGAATGGGGGCAGGCAAGACGTGAGAAACTTGGATGCGTCTTTTAAACACCAGCCTGTGTTGCTAAGGTTTGGACGGGACACACCGGGACACACATCGTGCTGACTCATTTTAGAAAGCCGATTTCTTCATCAAGCGCGTATGTTCCCACCACGTATGCGTAAAAAATCTGGGTCGCATCGGCGCGCCTTGTCAGATAATGATGACTTCTATTGGGTAGCCGTGCCTGTGTAGCGACTTCCAGGGCAAAGCCTTAAGCATCTGGGTCATCACAGTATTAGAAAGTACCCGAAGCGCCAGAGTCTGATTCCAATGTCTTGCGGAAGCTGAGGTCAAGAATTTTTCTTGCAAGTTGAACTGCAAAAAAAAAAAAAAAAAAAAAAATTGTCTAAAATACCCCAAAATTGCCTTTTTATTGGCCACCACCGACCTCTGAATATTATCTTCTGCGCAAGGACCAGCAGGTGATGGAGGCCAAATTGGTCGCCCAGTGCAACAAGTGTCACCTCTTCTTTGAAGCTGCTGGTATCAGTCAACACCGCTCCCGATGTGGTGCCAATCTGAAGCGAGCGACCGAGGCGTTGTTTCATGCGGCTGGACACGACCTGCTTGAGATTATGCGTGGCGCTTGGCCCCAACAGTGTGTAGGGTCTCGCGTCAGTGTCTGTGAGCTGCTCAAGCTCGCCCGGCATCCACTGATGCAGCGCAGCCGCTACCCATCCAACGCCACCGAGACCAAGCTGATGGCTGCCACCCTGAGCCAGCTGTATTGGTCTGCCGTCCACTCGGACTATACCGCTGAAGAGCGAGAGATGTGCTGGGCTTTGATTTTGGCCTTGCCTAGCATGTTGTTGGCTGCTCCCTCGACCGCACTGTCTACGATTGACCTGCGCAATATGTTTCACGATCGTCTCCGTTGGCTTGTGACGGGGCAACTAGGTCGGGTCGTGGACGCCATGCGCAAGGCAGTCGCACGCAAGCAGAGCCGTCGAGGACAGCTGAACGCCGGCGCGGGCGCCCACCCGAACGACGCAGTCGACCAGAGCCTCAGGTCGCTCGTCCGCGACCCGGACCTGGCGGACGAAGCCTGGGCAAACCACGTCACGAACCGTGTGAACCAAGAGCCCAAAGAGTCAAGACAGTGCCTCTGGCCATCAACGTCTTTGGCTTTTCCCTTGCATGTTGCACGTGAACGCCAATCACAGGTAATTCCAGCAATGATATAAAATTGGTGTTGACAGAACAAATTCGTGCACGGCACGATCATCCGTGTCAAGCGGCAAAACAAACCACACTCTCCCAACAAGAGACAACAAACTGTCAATGCAGCTGCCAGAAGAGATTGAAACAGACACAAATAAAGCAAGTTACAAAGCTGCCGGTCGTCATGACTGCTACTCTCCTGATTGTGCCTGCTTATCCACAGGGCAAGCATAGCGACGCAAACGCACTCATGCACTGCTGGTGGCAGCCTTGCGCACACTGATGAGGGCATCTTTCCATTGTGCAAACTCAGTGCTGTCCGGCACCTCAAAGTGCACCACCAGATTATGCGTGCATGCTGTAATGCCGGGGGTCAGGAAAGTAAACTCTGTGCTTGGCCGGATGTCGAGCGTTGACAACGGGTTTACCATGGCTTCGTCATCCATCTCGTAAACCTGCCAGCAAATGCAACGGAGCGGGAAGATGGCCAGTGGCGTGAGTGTGAGATGAGCGTGTCATTCTCAGATTGCAAAGTTTTGCTGGCGCGCCTCGCACCGATAGGACTGTTGACGTCAGGTAGAGCCACTTTTCTTCGCGCCGCGCTTTCTTCCGACGCTTTTCTGTGTTTTGCAAGTGAGACACAAATACAGAACAGTTGAGCAGTGAGTTCACATTGGCCAATCTTGAACGCTGCATCCATTGAGGTAGGCACTTGAGGTCAACGTACGGCCACCGCCGACAAGCATGACGGCGCCCTCCATCTGACAGTCGTATTCTGCAGCCGCATCCTCATGAATCCAGGTCCCCGGCTCGTAATACGTGCCCGCCACGTCGGTGTAGCCGCCTTCAGCATCATAGTAGCCGCCTATACGTGCACAGTGGAAAGAAAGTTAGCGCCGGAAGCCGTTGTAGTTTCACTTTGCTTTCTTTCCATAGCTGTAGTCAAATTCACTCCCAATCTCACCATATTCATCGTAAAACCCTCCATATTCATCGTAGCCAATCTCAAATTCGGCCTCGCCTTGCTCGGTTCCCTCGTTTGTGGCCGCATCCTCGCTCTCGCTGAGAATCTGCCCAAAGAACTCATCTTTGTAGTAGTTGGCCTTTTTGTCAAACTCGTTCTGAGTCTCGTTCTGAGCCTCGTTTGCCTCTTCCGGCGCTTGAGGTTGTGGGTTTGATTCCAGAGACGGGGGTGTCAGCGTCCGGGGGAGCGGCTTGGGGCTAGTTTTTGCCTTGGGCTTGGGTGCGATCGGCGGCCGGTGAGTAGAGTCATTGCTCAACTTACCCTCCTGCTGCTCGGTCTGGCGCTGCTTTGAGCGGGGTAGGATTTCGATGTAGGGATCAGCGCTCTCAACACTTGCCCCGAGTGACTCGGCTGAGATGCCTCGTGATAGCAGGTCTTCGTCCTCGTTGGTGCCCACAAAAGTTTGTGGGCGCGTTCGTCGCGCCGATCCACCACGGCGCCGAACCACCGAGGGTGAACGCAAAAGTTCGGAGCGCGAGCCTGATCGCGACTGCTCCAGAGATGGCGGGTCGGGATTAGCCAAGCTGGCTGGTTTGGGGCTGACGGGTTCTGCCGCTGGCAGCAGCAAGCATAGGCCTGATGGCGTTGGGTCCTCCGAGTAGTGCTCCACGAGATCCACGACATCATCAAAGGCGTCGTCGGTATTCTCTAGACTGCATTCGCCGTCCTCACCGACCACGATCAGGCCAGTCCAGACCTGTTCTCCCGTCCACGCACTGAGACAAAAGTTTCCAGGATCTGTTTTGGAAGGGTACACGATAAAGCTGCCAGGCGTTAACGTTTTCAGCCCAACCATGTCGTCGCGGGTCACGGCAGGTCGGTACCAGGGTTGATCCAGCAGCTCGGGCCCACTTTGAAGCATTTCTTCCGTGTCATCCAGTGTCAGCACCGGGGCCGCGTGGGGCGAAAGGCGAATTGAATGTCGCAGGTTTGCAAAACGCCCACTGGCCGCAGCTACCAACTCATCGTCATCTTCATCGTCGTCCTCAGATCCCACCTCGGAATCATACGCGCCCATGCCTTCAACGCCAGCCTCATCCTCTGTTGCTGCGTAGTCGCCCTCATCCTCGCTGTCGTTTAGATTGGCGTATGGGTCTTCTAATCCGTCAGCGTCGGTTTCTGCGTCCATATTCTGTAAGTCCTGTAGAACAACGCTGCGTCTGGCCGTGTTGTGGCATGGTGATTGACCACCATTCATGCGAGCCATGAGGCCGGTTGGCAGATGCACGCCCGCAGGTGCAATGGCCTCTAAAGAGCCCTTTTTGCCACGCACGATGGAAGCAATGGAGCTACGGTTTTGTTTGCGTCGGCTACGGCGAATCGAATTGGCCAGCCCGGTTGCGCTGATGGAAGGCGTTTCTGCCTGCTCCATGTGCATGAGTGAGGAGGTGGGGCGGGCAGCTTCCTGAAACTGGCGCACCTCACCGGCTCGCTTGGCTGGGCGCACAGAATCGCGCTTGACGTTGGTGTTGGCACTCCAGACGGCGGCCGGAAGCTGCACCAGCGCCTTGGCTATCAGGATGTGCGCACCATTGTCTTGGAGATCACCCTGTAGGCCGCGCGGGGAGCGCGCAATGGTGGGTCCAAATACCAACGCAATATTCTCCTGATTCATGCGGTTGCTGCTGCACTCGGCTACCACGCGGCGTAAATGACGCATCAGAGAGTCGAGCAAGCGGTAATTCTTGGTGGGCAGCACACGCAGCGCAGCGGATAGCGCTTCATTGCGGGTTTCCCCTTCAGGTAAGCGAATCGCACGACAAAAGGCGGCATGAGCCGCAAATGTTAGCAGCGGTGGATTCATGCTCTTCAGCACCAGTTTGAGGAGTGAAGTCAGCTCGGGAATCTCGGCATCTTCCAAAACATGGGGTCCCTGCATAAGAGCTGCTGCCTTGAGCTTGTCCACACGAGGCAGGGATCCACTGACGCGGTAGATGCCCTCGTACATCAAGCCGCGCCGTTCGACCAGCTGCATGATGCTGTGCACTAGACGCGGGATGTGGTCATGAAAGTAGGCGCCGCGCATGGTGGCCACAATGCGCAGCAGCTCAATAATGCGGGGGTCCATCTCGAGTTCGGACGTGAGCGAGACCCATTCCAGCTTGCCCTGAGGGGTGTTTTGGCTCTGGGACGGCAGGTCATCCCCATCACAATGCAGACCAAGCGAGGTCATCTCAATCCAGGCATTGTCTGTGTTGCGTTCGTCCTCGATGCAGCGCTTGCTCAGGACGACAACGTGTTGAAAGGCCTCGTCGAGGCTCAAGGCCTCGGCCGGCTCGCTGACCCAGCGCACATGAGGTTGCTGTACGCCCAAAAAGTCCTCAACCAACGGCACAAGCGCGTCCAGAGGATGGCGCAGGCAAGTGGGAAGTTTTGTCTTGCCATCCTTGCCGCGCAGAACCAGCACTTGGAGGACTGGCATGTTGTTTTGGCGAACCACTTGCACATCTCCCCCTTCGCCGGGGCTGTAGCCGGCTTGACCGGGTCGCGCTCGAAGCCAGCGCGTGACGACGGCTTCCAAGAGATGGTTGGGGCCCCAGCGGCCCAGCACGCCCCGGCCGGTGATACCCGTGCGCCGCAGCGGATTGCGGGGAATGCCCTCAACAATCTTATAGGCCGGCCCAAAGCTGCGACGGTCCACCTCACAGGCAGCATCGTACGAGTTGAAGGGAATGACAGCAAAAGTCTTGCGCAGGTCGGGGTCGGCCCATGCGGGGCCCCGCAGGACAAAGTCACTGGTGTACTCTGTTGGCTGGTAGTCCTTGTCCATCTGTGCCCAGTTGGCATGCACCACAACACCACGCTTGGTTCCCGTGTCCAAGTACGTCTCGGATTGAGGCACGGTGTCAAAATCTTCCGAAAACACGACATCGTTCCACGAACCACGATCCCCGGTGAACACGCGCGGCGTCCAAATGTCTGGCGGATGCACGACAACGCCACTGGGTGGGCCAATGCTGTCCAACACATCCACCAAGCGCTCGGCCGTGTCGGCATCACCGCCCTCCATCAGCTCCTGCACCAAGCGATCGCGGTGCTTGTGCAGCAGCTTGTTGATGAGGAGCAACTCTCGGTCCAACAGTCCGGGAACCACGCAGGCGTCGTTGTGGCGGCCCAGGGTGGACTGATCGCGTGGTGCTCCACACATAATGGGAAGGTTGATGCCGATCATGGCAAACTTGGATAGGGTCAGGCTATCCAACGGTTGAGGTGGGGCAGAGACGCGCTTGATGAAATCAAATCCGCGAGAGGAGGCCACCGTCACAAAGGAGGTCATGCAGGTCATGTACTCTTCCTTGAAGGACGTGAAGTGACCCGAGGCCACGGCTTGGACAACTTTGGAGAGGAGGACGAGACCTCGGCTGACTTTGGGAGGAAGATCGTCGGTGATGATGCCGTGGGCCTTGGGTGTGACGAGCGCAGGTGAAAGAAAACGCAAAAAAAAGCAATTGCCCACGGCCAAGTTGCCACTGTCCGGAAAGGCCTTTGTGGCCGCGCGGTGGATACCATGGCACGTCAGGGTGACGGCTACCGGGACTCGGGCTAGCGAGTCGATAATTGCGTCAAAGACAAACTCGCTCAGTTTTTTCAAGGCGCTGCGGTTTTGGCCCAAGTTTTCTCCCTTGGCAATCTACTCGGTAGTCAGAGCCGGGTGCAGCTGGGTGAGGGCACCTGTAGAGCAAGGATCCACATTGGTTGATAGAGATGACTCGGGGCGAGTACTCACGTAAGCCGGGTTGATCTCATATGAAAGATCAGGCGTGTCCAGCATTTTTTGGATCACAGGCTGCAGCGTCTTGCGCAGATAGCCTTGGCCATAGGTCTTGAGTGTGGCCGTTAATAGCTTGCTGCCGAGAGAGTTACGCCGGAAGAGCAGGTTTTCCGAGTCGCAGGCGTGGACATCAAATTCGGCCAGCTTGAAAGCAAAAGGCAAAAGAAGTCCCTGAAACCGAAGTAAACGCAATCGAGACATTCGCGCCGAGGCAAAGTCAGTGCAGGATGGTGCGAATGCTTTTAAAAGAGGGCAATGTGGATGTGGGGGAAGTAAAGTTGGGGTTGCTGAGCAACAATGAGAGTCAGACAGGGGCAACCAAGAGATGTGCGACTCGGACCTGACAGCCATAAAGTTTGAAGATGGCTGCTGTTGTCTCCTCAAGGTCGGCTCGATTGATGATGCCGTGTAGGGCTGCCGGCAGGGCCAACGGTGGCTCGGTCAACAGGGCAACCAAATTGTCGTATTCCTCTGACCGTGAAGTGCTGTTGGATCTGTTCTGCTTGCCACCGCGCTGGGAGTTGAGTTCTCGGCGCTTTAAGCGCTTGGAGGGCTGCGATAAAAGGCTCGCCGAGCTGGCATTCTGCATACCTCGGGCGGATCGCATATACTGCCAAAGCGTGACGGGACAATGCGCTGTCAAAGACATGTGTGTGCGACAGCGGGAGGGGGGGGGGGAAGGAAGGGGGAGAGAGAGAGAGAGAGAGAGAGAGAGAAAACGCGGGGTGGAGATGCACACTCACCTCATCAATGGCGATGAGGATGCTCTTGTAGAGAAATTCATATTGTGCCAGACTCTGAACCATACAGATGCGCTGGCGTCGCATCTCGCGCACTAGAAGAGGAATCATAATGCTATATTTTGCATGTCGTCAGCGCATTGCAGGGTGATAGAGGTCAGGCAAGGCCCGTCTTGGCTGAGCATACGCATAACAAAGAACAAAGCAAAGAAAGCGATAGTTTGGATTCCGATCCTGCCTGACCTGTGTTTGTCGCGGCGAATGCCGTGCAGGGAGCAAAGGGTGGCGTACGTGCCGATGAAAGTTCCGGTTCGGCCGACCCCAGCACTACAATGCACCAGGAGCGGTGGCTGGGCCAGGGAGAGTGGTAAAGTAAGAAGAAAGGTTTCTGCGACTGACAGCTTGGACGCAGGGCGGCCTTACCGTGGCTGCGGCAACAGAGGCTTGCGCACGTTGCTGAGAGGTCATGACGGTGCGAACAAACTGGACAAAGGAGTGAGGGCTGGCAGGGACGCCTTGGTCAGGCCAGTCCGTGTAATGAAATTGGGTAATACGCCGCTCTGGCTCATCGTTGTAGTGCAGGGCAAAGGTGCGGCGACTCCAGGCCACGCCATCGGACGCATCAAGCTGTTGAACCGAGAGGCTGCCATCAAACCTATGTGGGTTTGTATCCAGATGAAAAAAAAAAGTTTGGCATGAGCAATGAACCTGGTCACCAAGGTGGGGATGTAATGCCGTGGGCACGTGATAGCCTACTCGCTATTGCTGCCAAAAGATAGGGTTTGTCCGATTTCGGGCCAATCTATGCGTCCGAGAGTGCAACAAGAGTGACCCACAGTGATGTGACAAAGGAGAGCAGAAATGTGGCAGATTCAGGGTAGCTCATCTCGTACAGGGGTCACACTTGACCAAATCGCCCTCAAGCACATTGGTCACCATTACAATGACGGACAGTTTGTACTGTGCAATCATTTCCCAGAAGCTACGGATGGTGGGCACCGTGGGTCCCTGCCGATGGTGTGTTCCAACGTCACAAGGCGCCGGTGCATGAGGGTAGGAAGATCAAGTGTCGGGATGCTGGTTTGGCATGCTGTAGAGGCAAACTTGAATAGGCCTGGCGCATGACTTACCTGACTGGCGATAAAGTCAGGGGCACCCGTCAAGAGATTCTTGATGTACGAGGCATTGATGTAGTCATTCTTGCACTTGAGCTTGACGCGATTATGATCAAACGGTAGAATGTCTTCGTAGCTGCACGCGCGCAAAGAAGGCGGCCATCCAATGAGCAAAGTTGCACACCACCGTGTTGAGAACGCAACGGAGCTATCGATTTCGCGCCATAGACGCTTTGCAGACCGGTTGCTGTCCATGTTGTCATATCCGGCCTTGTACTTGGCTGACGCGGCCTGCCGCATGGTTTCTTGCTCGAGTTTCTGTGACGAGAGCGGACTGCTGAGTGAACAACTTTTTTTGCTTGTGATGGAGGTGTGCACGATCTCCTTGTGTATACTTGGCGTGTTTGCGTGCACTGTCCGCTTCACCAAAGACACAGCCAAAGAGAGGGAATGAGAGTGCGGAGAGCCTAACCTCAAACTCGGCACGAAAGCCGGAAACGCCCGGTCGAACATTCTGATTAAGCCTATTGAGATGACATTTGATTTTGAGAGTGGGCAGTTTGTGCGCGATTCCGGCGTGAAAGTGTGACTGACTTGGAAATGCGCTTGCCGAGCTCATCAACTGCAGCTTCAATCACCTATGTCGAGGAAACGTGCATTGGGCAAGTGTGATAGATAGATAGATTGATGAGAGTGAGTGTGTGTGAGGGCTCATGTAAACAACCTAGCTAGCAAGGAAGGACGCTCCCCCCCCTTCAAGCAAAAAAGGAAGAAATCAAACAAAGACACGAATCGAGTTGTTTGCGGGCGACAGACTCACCTTGGCCTTGGAATTGAGAAGCGCCAATTCAGAGGACCGTTGGGGCGCCAATCCTCCAAGCTTCTGCAACCAGGCATGGGTAGCAAACACCCGTTGGGTGTGTGAGCTCGGTCCAACCCGATGCCTTGCACTGCTGTCGATGGAGTGCGCAAGCCTTCTTTCTCTGTCAACAAACCCTCTGGTGTGCTCACCTTCTTGCGCTGCAGAGCTGGGGCAGCAATATCATTGCTTGTGGTCGAGGCGGCCAACATTTTGTTGGCTTCCAGCAATTAGCCCGGACCAACCGGGGAAAGGCTCTTGTGCGATGACAGCGTGGCCGGGCTACGCCCGCCGACGCTGCTATGTGGGTAGCTCCTGCTTGATGTGCGGTTTCCTAGCTGACGATGACTGTGCGGGTCAGCATGACCGCAAAGACATGGGTGGATGAGCCGTACGTCGCGTGGGCACGACTCTGTGTTTGAGCCAAAGGAAGAACGGCGATCTGCTGGGAGCCGGCTGGGGCGAGCTGTGTGTTTGGGTCTGGCCTATGTCGAATGGCCAAATGCACGGTACGCGAGGGTGAATCGGAAATCGTGGTGGTAGCTTTCGAGAGGAGTGGATGTTTTCGGGTGTGAGGTGGCGATGGAAGTGCACACTTGATTCCGAAAAGGGCGGCGGCTGACCAGCAACTCGTTCACGCCAGTTTTAGGGGTGTCCGGCTAGAGGGCAATGTTGCCTTTAAGATCTAGTCAGCCCCACCACCACAGCGCATCGTTTTACAAGAAAAAAAGAAGCCTTGCTATGCAGTCAAGGCGAAAGATTGGAATGTTCGTGTCCGCCAGCAATGGCACGCGGACAGAGCGCGCGAAAAAGAGAGAGAGGGAGAGAGAGAGAGAGAGAGAGAGAGAGAGACAGAGAAAGTCAGGTTTTCGCATCCACGCATGCATGTAAGCAATACCCAATATCCAAAGCTTGTGTAAAGTAAAATACTTCTAACAATCCCATCTAAACAGCATCACGACGCAGTATCGAGTCGTGATCTTTTCCGCCAAATTTTAAAAACCAAGCCTACAGAATTTTTATGCGACACACACACACACACACACACACACACACGCACACACACACACACACACGCACACACACACACACACACACACACACACACACACACACACACACACACACACACACACACACACACACACACACACTCTCTCTCTCTCTCTCTCTCTCTCTCTCTCGCATTTTGAGCGACGAGACATCGGGGCGGTGTGTCTATCGACAGAAACGCAAGCACGCTTGCTTTTATTTTTGGCTAGAGGACTTGGAAACACAACGGTCAAGGGCTGTTGAAAGCGCGCGTGCACGTCGCCTTGATCGCGCTGCGGCTGCACTTGAACCACACTGCGTGACACTGGTCACGATGTGCAGCTTCGGGCTTGCTCCGTGGGCCTTGGCCGTTTGTTTGGTGCTGTTATCCAGCGCCGGCGCTCAAGCGGCACTGGTAATTTCCCCGACCTCTCTTGAGCTGCCCGAATACGAACAGGGCGTGCTTACCCTCTCCGCACCCGCCAAACCGACGACCAGCTTTACCTGGCAGCTGAACGGCCGTGCCCTCTCTGGCACCAGCGGTCGCACCCTGGTTTTCTCCATGATCGAGCCCGAAGATGCTGGCAAGTACGTACATCTCTCATCCCCGTCCTCCCTTCCCATTTGCCCCCTTATCCTCTCCCACATTGGGGCGTCCTACAATCACTGGGTGCCCCCTGGCACGCTGCTGTTAGTTACACGGTGCTCGTGCGCTATACCGATGGAACCAACGAGACTTCCTCTGTCGCCTTTGTCACAGTTCGCTACACGCCTCGCTTTGTAGTGCAGCCGGCGTAAGTCACATGCTTCGACGCCCCTTGCGCTCGCGATTGCAGTTCTCCGATAACCTTCATCGCTTTGGCTGATGTCATTCATCTCTTTCTGCTTCTTCATCTTGATCTTGTGCTGCTGGATCTGGTGCTTGTCCAATGTCTAGTCGTCTGACTGAGGCGGTGCCGGGCTCAACGGCAGTCTTGACAGTCAACGTCTCAGCACATCCTGCCCCTACATATGTGTGGTATCGCGACGATGAACCACTTCCTCAGGCACGCGAAGCCAGCCTCAACCTACCAGACATCACCGATGCGGATGCTGGGCGCTACGTCGTCCGCGTTTGTAACATTTTGGGCTGCCTCGAGAGCCAAATCGCCTACGTGCGCGTTTTGTCTTTGCCCAAGGTGGTTGTTGACCCAGTCAATGCCACTCGCGTGGTGCCTGGCGCCACAATTATCCTCACAGTCGAGATGGATGGCCTTCCATACCCCACTGTCCAGTGGTTTCATGACAACACGATTGTGGCTGGCGCACAGCACACCGATCTCATTCTCTACAATGTGCGCGCATCGGATGCCGGCGTTTATCACGCTGAGCTCAACAACTCTCTCGGGGTCGTCAAGTCCAAATACGCCCATGTTTCCCTGCTTCAAGCTCCAGCCGATGCCCATCTTCGCCTGCACGAGTCCCAAGTGCTAGAGGGTGGAAACCTGACCTTGGCAGTCGACGTGATGGAGGGCGATGCTCCTTTTGTCTATGCTTGGACGGTACGTGGGCCAGGAATGCCCGGTTTTGCAGCTTGCATTATCGTGCGTCATGCGTGCTCCTTATGTCATGCCTATTCCCTCCCTTAGCTTGACGGCGTCCCCGTTGATGGCAGTGAAGCCATCTTCACGGTGAATAATGTCACAGCCAGTGATGCGGGTGTGTATTGGTGCAACATAAGCAATGCTGCCGGCTCTACGTTGTCTCAAGCCGTCAATGTATCCGTCCTCCTGCGCCCTCGCTTAACGGAGCAATGGCCCCTTGTGATGGTACGTTGCGGATGGCTGGAACGTGCACGCCGCTGCAGCCCTTGGCTCATGGCATCTCGGAACTTACTTGCGCAGAACAAGACCGAATTCAACACGGGCAATCTGACTGTCAACGTTTCCGCCGAGGCGGAAATTGACAGCATCGCGTGGACGGTAAGCACATCAACTGTTGGTCTCGACGCCGGTTTAAAGGACTCGCCGGACACTTCCAGCCCTGTTTCTTACCCCCCTTTCTTTTATTTAGGTAAACGGGCAACTGCTGGTCAACGAGACAAACCTCGTCCTGGCCACCGACGACTGGACGCCGGGGACATACATTATCGTGGCCACACTGACCAACGCGGCGGGCGACCTGACCGTGACGACCACACTCCACATTGCTGCGTTTACCACCCGCGCACCAAGCACCACTGCACCCCTGGATGTTGGCGTCGGCAGCACGGACAACGAAGGTAAAGTCACGCCACCATAAAGTTTTCAAGCCTTTCAACCTTTACTCTCCCACACCTTCCGTTGCCGGACCAAGTTGCAGCTCAAAGGTGAAGTGCTGTGCTTGCAGGTGGAAGTGCCGGTGGATTCGGCCAGTATCAACTCTATGCCGTCATTGGTGGTGCAGCCCTGCTTCTCATCCTCATTCTGGCAGTTGTTTGCGTGATGCGCCGCCGCTCGTAAGTTGGCTTTTGTGTCGAATGCCGGCCACGAGTCGACCCTCAAACTCTTATCACCTTTGCACGCCTGCTTTGGGTTTGGGTCGTGTCATTGGCAGGGTTCATCGCAACTCGCAAAATTGGAAGAGCCTGGGCAGTGAGCAGCAAAGCACTACCACCTCCCCCTTGCTGGCTGCTAGTCACACTATTGCCCGCCATCGCTTCCAGGTGCGGGCTCAAGCCAAATTTCTCACGTGCATATGAACCAGGCCCCATGGCAACGGTGGTTCTTGGTGCATGGATAGACAATGCCGGTGTGCACACAGCTCACGATGCATATTGGCTTTGGTTGGGAGGGACGCAGGATGTGTGCGAGGATCCTCTGTACGAAGAGCTCGATGGGAGCCGTCAGTTTAAGGAACCCTCCATGTTTGCTCCGGGCCGCATCATGTTCCGCAAAAAGGTGGCATCAGGGTACGTACTACTTGACTGGCACCTCTTGATGGTGCACTTGGCTCTTGAGAACATGGATCGATGATTGCTGATGCGTCGCTTTTGGTGCATGTCACAGCAACGTCCTCGAGGGCCGTACCGGCCTACTTATGTCCTCTACCAAAACAGGCTCGCCCACCCCAGTCCTCCTGCAGGTTCTGAAGCAGACTGATGTTCTCCCTAGTAAGTTGCTGTGTTTGGAGCGCACTGCCTTTCCCGATGCTAGGCTCCTCGATGGGCAGTCTCTGCTAGGCACCATGCCTTTCCTTGCCACAAATGCGCTGCCCGACTTGATCTCTGGCCTCTTTTATTTTAGTGCGCGTCAACTTTTTGCTCGAGAGCTACTTGCTCAACAGCATGCGTCACGACAGTAAGTGCCGCCAGTGGCGTCAATGGCCCCAGAGCTGAACCTCTTACGAATTTTGACGGCTGGAACCTGCCGTTTTGACGCGTCATTGCTGTCTTGTTTCCATGTCTCTCTTCACCGTCACAGACATCCTTCCTCTGTTGGGCATTGTCACCGAGGGGCCCTTGTGGACCATGGTCTTGGAGCAACCCGGGTTTGGCAATCTGCAACATTTGCTTCGAAATGAGGTTAGCTTCAAGCCTGTCTTTTGAGCTCTGACCGGCCTAATCCATCGCTTCTGAGCTGACGCTTTCCGTTTCGTTGCATTGTTGTGCCTTAGGCTATCCCCTATCTGCAGCTCAAGAGCTATATGCAAGACGTGGTTCATGGGCTCACGTTTTTGTTCAATAGCGGCGTTGTGCACGAGTCAATCTGTGCACAAAATGTTGTCATTTGCGAAGATAACACGGCCAAGGTGCGATGGGCATACAACTTTGGGAAAGCCTTCCAATGCTTGACGGCACGGACATCCGGTTGCTGTATTAGCTCATTAATTGTTGTGTGTGATTTGCGGCATGTTTTGAGGACAGATTTCTAGCTTTGGCTACCTGGCTCAACCGCCGGGCCCACACGACGATGGCATGAAACGCCCCAAGCATCTGGGTGTTGCCACTACTGCCGTAGAAGTGCTGCGAGGCAATGCGCCTCACGCGCCAGCCATGAGCTGGGGACTGGGTATTCTGCTCTGGGAGTGCTGGTCTCATGGTGCCCAACCCTACTCAGATGCGGAATGGTGGGTGAACGTCAAGGTTGCGGCCCATGCGCTTACTTTGTCCCGCTCATCAGCTTTTGCTTTTTGACAGGACGGACGTCGACGTCGCTGAGCAGATCAAGAATGGCCATCGCATGTCAGCCCCCGAGGTACTTTTCACCCTGTTCCGGAGCATGTGCCCTCCCAGCAGGCATTGTTGGCTGCGAGCTGCACCTGACAAGTCCCAATGTCTTTTCTGCACCTGGCTTAGGGCTGCTCTGTTGCCACCTATCGCCTTATGATGGAGTGCTGGCACCCAGATCCCGACGTCCGCCCTTCTTTTGGTGCCTTTACCGTAAGCTTGTCTGTATGCACTCATCAAGAGCCCTTTTCTCTTCGTCACCACCCAGTGGAACTGAGATATGCTGCCTCATCTCCTACGCTAATATCGCACCTCCTCGTGCTTGTTTCCGTATGGGGATGCAGTCGCGCTTGAGTGCAGCTGATATCGCCTCGAGCAACGATCACAACGACGCCGAGACGCTTTGTGACCTCAAAAGCATGTACTTGAGCGACTACATCGAGGTGTCTGCTGCGGTAGGGCCAATAGTATTGCTCACGCTAGTCGGGCAATGGTAGGGCCAGCTGACTTGCACTTACATTCACTGGTTGCATGTCTGCTGTGGGGCCTGTCAGCAGGAGGCTTCTCGACCCGAGGCCACCTCAACTGTTCCGCAACAGTCTAGGTTTGTTGCTCAACACGACCTTGTGCTTCTTTCCTTTTGAAGTTCTCTTTCCTCTTTGTCATGCCTGGTGGTGTCATCAACTTATTTGCCTGACGATTTCCTCTTTTCTTGAACGGCTCAGCCAACCGTCCCAACCATCTAGCCTGTGGCGTCACATGCTGAAACGTCTGTCCAGTCGTCGTCGCCGCGAGAGCCAAGACATTACAACCGTCACTCCACCCATGGCCTTCCCAGACGTTCACACCGACCTGAGCATGTGCTATGCCGCCCAGCATGAGCTAGAAAACAGTCTCAATGTTAGCGGTGTTAGCTCCAATGTGCCAGTGGACGTGTACGCCGAGTCTCCCAACCCTCACCGGAAGCCTTCAATCATTCGTGGTAAGCTTTCGCTCTGCGCTCAGACCGGTTTTCTTGGCGTGACCCACAGGGATGCCATAATATTGTGCTTGAGTGCACTCTGGCATGTGACGAGCTGGCCCTCATTCAGAGTTGAACTCAACACTTGGCATCATTCGTTCCCAGATGGTCCAGGCATGCAGGCAAACGGTCGCTTCTCGCGTCGCTTCAGCGACTGTCCGTCGGAGGACTCTTTGCCGCGAGAAGATGTGGTTTACAGTGTCACCTCGCGTCGGCGCCTGTCCATGGTGCCCAATCAGATGGTGGCCTTGAACCGCCTGCAACTTGAAGATGCACCCACACCATCCAAGATGCAATCCCCGGGGTTGGGCATTGGCAAAGCCTTGCGCACCTTGGGTCAAGACAGTCCTAATCCGGTTCGTCATCCTTGGTCGATGTGTCATGTATGGGTTTGCGTGCATGGGTTTGAGGTGTGGCAAGTCGCTGCCAACCAGCTCATGTTTTGCAACGTGGCTACAGCTGTACGAGGAGCCACGTGATCGCATTCCACAGCAGCCGCTCTATGCCCCCACCAGCGGAGTCAATTTCGCTCACATGGATGACGATGTTTTGGCTGACCTCGTGGCGGAAGGTATGATCAGCCACACCGACACCGAGCTCGAATGGACGCTTTTCCGAGTGACGTTCCAATCTTGACGGTTGTCCTTGTGGTTCTCGGTGGTGCACAGGCGATATCGTGGAATTGCATCCGGATGTTCAGGATACAAGCGATTTTAGCGTTGCCATTACAGATTTGGATAGGTATGCTCTTGTCCGGGCTTGGGCTCGCGACCAGGCGTGACTGAGGGCCAGTTGCCTCACCACAATGCACGACATTTGTTGTTTTTCCAGCTTGGTAGTGGATGAGAACAGCCGTACAGGTCTGGCCCCTCACTTTCGTCGTCTTCTGGCGGAGAAGCACATGGCCACGCCCCCGCAAGGTCAACGCCGAGGCACACCACTTGGGGAGCTGCAATCCAGTCCCCTCATGTAGGCGACCATTCAGTGCTCGGTTTCGGAGCTGGACTGGCAGAGAGAAAAGAAAGATGTAGTACTTGAAGAAAGCTTGATTGTGTTACCCATGATTTTGTTTGTGCGTATGCATGTGTGTGCTCTTCCTTCGTGGCTTGTGGATGACCGGGCGTTGAGGGAAGAGAATGGCCTTTCAGTTTCCGAACAACTTTGTGTCACAAACTTGGCTCATCAAATTTAGCCAAGTCTTATTTATGATTCTCAACGCATAATTGATATTTCAACTTTTCTTTCGGATGCTGCCCGGCAGTGCGCCGGCCACAGCTTACACACACACCACACAAAAGACGACCAGCGAGCCCCGAGGCGTTGGGAAAGCTTGCGTGACATTGCCAGAACATACGCATACAAGGCACGACACGCGAATTCTTTGGAAACGAAACAACAATGAGTGTACAATCATTGAGCAAGGCGAAGAAGGAGGGAGAACGCGTAGCGTTCATGCTTCATCTTGGCTCGACTCGGTCCAATCCAACTAAACAAAGCACCTGCTGCGAGGTTGGCTCGGAAAAGAAACCATAGGAATGCGAAGAAAAAAAGAAAATTAAGTCGCCAGGAAATGCTCGTCGTCAATGGTTGAGTAGATTTGACCTTCTGAGGACAATGTGTCGATGGCACTCCTATTTCAAAAAGGAAGAAAACAAAGAAGGAAGGAAGCAAAAAAGGGCCGTGAATATCCGGAGAAGACAAGCGCTTCATGTGATGATAGTCACAGATGACAGTCAAGACACGGACCTGACGGTGGACTCGGGCAGCCCAGTCACGGCAACGACGGCTTCAATGGACATGCCAGCCTCCTCTGTCGTGTGGCGGAACGCCTGCAAGACCTTGCCATCGGGACCAGACACGTCCGAGTCGGTCATCATGGCGCTGTTGCCAGCGCTGTAGTCCTCCGTTTTGATCTTCACGGCTGCACTCGTTGCATGGAGAGCAGCGTTGAGTTGACGCACCGGCCCAGCCCACCATGCGCTCCACTGCCAGTTACGGCCACAACTAAAAAATCGATGGGCGTACCGTTGGCATCGTTGGCATTGTTGGAGGTTGTACCCAGGGCCACAGCCAGCGCGTTGGCGTCCTATTTCAACAGGCACACAAAGGCATTGTTGTGAGAAGTTGCAAGGGATGCCTGGTATTCGGCAACGCCTGGCTTGATGATGCAGCAGGTGACACACAATAGACAGCGGTTTGGTCAGGCGGAGATGGGCATGAACGATGCTGATGAGGTGATGGGTCAGCTGATTGCCGTTGGTCAGCTTGGAGATGTTGTACGCCGTGAGTTGCAAGTTGTTCTCATTGTCTGAGCGAAGCTGTCCAACGACCTGCACGTAGTCGTTCTCGCTAAGAGGGAGCACATCCAGATGAGCACAAGAATGAGAAACTTTGGTTGGTTGGTTGGGTGTGCTCATGTGACAATTCCTGCAATCGCTTTCAATCCCGGGCCGAGCGGGAAAAGCTCGTTCCTACCGATAGAGATCGGGCGCAGCCGAGGATTCCTCCTCATCGCCGGCGTTGCTAGACCACCGCGTGGCTGAGATGGCACCTGCTCACATGTGCACAGGTATGTGGAAGATGGCGCGCACATTGCGACGCATCAGAGAGGGGCAAGCAAATATGAATAATCGGCATGATCCACGAGGAAAATGTTTTGCAGCAGGGCGCGCGCACCAGTGTGGTCTTCGACGGTGTAGGTGACACGAGTTGCCCTTGCATCCACGCTGCGAATGACACCGACGATCATCACCTATTTTCAACAGTGAGCACACGTCAAGAGCTTGTGAAAGAAGAAGGAAAAACAAAAGGAAAGTGCGAAGGCACAAGCCGGCAAGACAGCGCACCTTGTCGATGTCCTGATTATTGAGACGATAGTGCTCGCCGTTCTTGGTGGCCGAGCGCAGCTGGCAAACAGAGACCGGCATCAAGCCTTCAACACGGGTCTGTAGGGGGGGGTTCACATGGCACGACGACAATGAGTGTGAAAAGTAACCCAAGTGCTTTGGTGGGGAGCCGCCGACGGCTGAAAGCAGGCACCTACGCGGGCTGCCGAAGGGCTGGACTGGCTGAAGCCGCCCATGTCGGTCATGAAACCACCTGCAAATGATCCCAGCAACGTGTGAGCTGCCATTGTGTTCCGTGGATGAGACGAGAATACAAGAGTTTGAACATGAGCGTACCTTCACCACCGAAAGCCATGTTGATGGTATTTCTGTTCACACCCACACAGGTCGGTACCACAGGAGCAAACGGAACGAGCTTTGGGGCAGGTTGAGCAGGCTGCTTGCTGCCTCGGGTCGACGTGAATCAAGAGATGAGGAGAAAGCATTCAGAAAAAAAAAAAAAAATACAGCCAAATGAAAAACTGTCGACAAACCAAGCCCGCCAAAACCGTAACGGTCATGAGCCGTCGATTCGATCAAGAAGGCTATTGATGGAGCGGTGTTTTTGTGTCACAAAGTCATTGAAAAGTTGACAAGAGCGAAGCTGTTTAGAAAAGAGGGGGAGTTTTCATTTCATTTTGCGAGAAGAAAGGGTTAAATTGGTTTGTCGGGAGCAGCGGGTGGGGTCAGGTTGACGGGGTCGCGGGCGGCCGAGTTGAGAGCATTTTGTGATGGCGGGGGTGGTTGTGTCGAGGTGGGCGGTTGTGATGCGGGCTGTTGGGCTTGGGTTTGGCCAGGCTGGGTTGCTGAGGCTGGGGTGGGCCCTTGAGCAGGGGTTTGGACTTTGGCCTTTTTCCCCCGTGGGCGTTGCAGGATCGGGCACCATTGCGATGGGTGATTGACGGCGTATTGTCCACAGACCCGGCACATGACCTTGGGCTTGGTGCCACGCGTCGTACGCTGTGGGTGCGGCATGCCAGCAAACACATGCAAATTGAGGACCTGGGAAGCAGACGGAAACCAACAGCCAACAGGAAGAAAAAACAACCACATAAAACTCCACACACAACAACCACAAGAAACAAGAAACAGGGTGCCCTACTTACCAGACCAGCATTCAAGGGCTGGGTAGTGGCCACCCGCTGTGGTGCTACAGTCGTGTTCAGTGCCTATCGATAAACGTGCAAGTGAGAGCAAATCGCGGGTTGGTGCACTGTCAACAATTAGTATTGAGTTGAGGTCAGACTGCACTGGGGCCTTGACATACAGGTGGAAGGCCTGGAACAACGGGTCCACGAACGCTAGAACGAGGGCTCATGTACGAGCCATAGGTGAGCATGTAGGCTAATTGAGGCGATCCTTGTAGGGAAAGCTCGCTGTCGGGTCCTAGCGGGAGAGCCATGGGATTGGGCGCCGTCCAGTTGGGGGGCTGGGCCGCCGCTGTCGAGATCGTGCGAGGTGCAGCAAGAGGTCCGGCAGCGGCTGGGGTACCCCGGGGACGAGTCTGCGAGGAGCGCCGCCTGCATGGCACCGCAGGTGCACGAGAGAGAGAGAGAGAGAGAGAGAGAGAGAGAGAGAGAGAGAGAGAGAGAGAGAGAGAGAGAGAGAGAGAGAGAGAGAGAGAGAGAGAGAGAGAGAGAGAGAGAGAGAGAGGAGAGAGAGAGAGAGAGAGAGAGAGAGAGAAAGAGAGAAAGAGAAAGATCTGCCATGAGCGTGGGGAAGGAAGGGGCTTGTGCTTCTCGTGGGGAAATGCAATGTTAAATCGGAGCGCACCTGGTGTGCTGTGCCACGCGGGCAGGCGGGGGGTAGGAGATCTTGCCGCCAATGGTCGGGCATGATGCACCCGTAGTGCTGGCAAGGGTATTTGGGACACGGTGATAAGCGTGCACAGCCAGCAGGGCAAAGCAAACGGCCTCCCGGGCATCTGCACTCAAGCCCGTAACTAGAGCGTGCCATGCAGCGGCACCAAAGAAGATATGCGTACAATACACAGAGCAGAAGTCAAGTTGATGAATGAGTCTCAACAAGAGTGGGGACAGGCGCCAAAAGGCAACACACAAAGTCGCCAAGGAGGAGGAAGTCAAGAATTTGGAAAAGCAAGAAACAAAAAACAAAAACAAATAAGCATTTCGAACCGGCTTCGTAGCTTGCAACGGTGGCATGGGGTAGGTGATGCTGCAGACGCTCCATGAGAAAAAGGTTGTGCACGCCTCCACCGGCGACGAGGACTTGGAGTGCATCAGAGCCCGAGGCTGGTGGGGATTGGCCGTTCTCTTCATTGGAGATGGCCAGGGTAATGCCCGAGGCAATGGTAACGGCGGTAAATTCAGTTAGGGTGGCTAGCACGTCATGCGGGGCCAGGGTGCCAACAAGATCCTCGCGGAGGATTTGATCGAGGTATAAGGCACCAAAGTCTTCGCGGCCCGTCGACTTTGGGCCCGTTCGTTGCAAAAAGGGATGTTGCAGGAGACGTTCGAGAAGAGCAGTCTGTATCTGACCCTGCCGTGCCAGGGAGCCTTCGGGGTCGTATCGAAGGTCGGCGGAGATGAGGCGCGCCACGGCCATGTCGACAAGCATGTTGCCAGGGCCAGTATCAAAGCCCACAACGCTGCCGTTGGCGGTCAGAAGCGTGATGTTGGCTATGCCTCCAATGTTGACGATGGCACGGGCTCGGCCGGCCTCGGCCAGGAGGAGTTGGTCGACAAAGGGGATGAGCGGGGCACCTTGGCCACCGGCCGCCAGGTCGGGGGTGCGAAAATCTGAAATGACGACGCATCCCGTGTCATGAGCCACGACCGCGGCCTCGCCAAGTTGCATGGTGCCACAAATGGTGTTGGCAGCATCAACAGCCTCAGGGGCGGTGGAACCTTCTGCGCCTGGCGGCAGGTGGCATACAGTGTGTCCATGGCTACCGATGAGGTCCACGTCGCGCAGGGAGATGCCGGCCTGGTTGGTGGCCGGCGAATCCATCAACGAGTGGACGGCGGCAGCAAAGGCTTGGCCAAGCATGACGTTGAGCCGGCAGATCTCGGCCAGCGTGACGGCGGCCTGAGCGGAGCTGAGCGTCCGCAGACGGCGCTGGAGGTCTGATTCATAGGGAACGGTGGTATGCGCGATCAAGCGGACGGCACCCGGGGCCGGACGTCGACCCTGGGCCAGATCGGCCGGCACATCCACCAGTGCTGCATCAATGCCATCACAGGATGTGCCACTCATCAATCCCACCACCAGCATGGTATCGGCTCGACTCGCCCCCACCTCAGTGGGCGAGCGAGTGAGGGCGTGTGAGGGCGTGAACGCGTAACCGAGCAAGGGATGCACAGCCGTCCCCGTCCCCGTTCAAATACCAAAACCCACACGTCCTCTCCCTCGCTAAACAACTACACCGCACGCCACGCTGCTGCGCCCGAACGGCAGTCCAGCACACCACTGCAGCTCCCAGCAGAGTACGCGAAATTTATTTGAGAGAGTTTGAGAGAGAGAGAGAGTTTGAGAGAGAGAGAGTTTGAGGGAGAGTTTGAGAGAGAGAGAGTTTGAGAGAGTTTGAGAGTTTGAGAGAGTTTGAGAGTTTGAGAGAGAGAGAGAGAGAGAGAGAGAGAGAGAGAGAGAGAGAGAGAGAGAGAGAGAGAGAGAGAGAGAGAGAGAGAGAGAGAGAGAGAGAGAGAGAGAGAGAGAGAGAGAGAGAGAGAGAGAGAGAGAGAGAGAGAGAGAGAGAGAGAGAGAGAGAGAGAGATATGTG